CGGCCCTCGCAGCTCATGCAGGCACCCCTCGCCTGGTGGCCCCTGTTGTCTATGGCAGTGCACCCTGATAAACACCTTTCTATTCTTACACTTAATCTCTGGTAAATTCTTTTACCAGCCCGCGTGTCACTGGCTCACCAAACAGCCACCCCGTTGTACCACACAACAAAAATAGTTTAACAAAAGGGAACAGACTGAAATTGAAAGTAAATCCGATTAACAGCCCAGCAAACTGAGTGATTTAAGCTCAGCTTTATAAACAAATCATTTGAGTTTTAACTTACTTTCACATCAGTTAAGATGCAGTTAAGATTTTGCATTTATCACGAGTCAACATTTCCGTGATTTGATCTATCATTGCAAAGAATAGAAAATTGGTAATTCTGTATATACCATATTATATTCATATCCTTTAACCAAAGAATTCTACTTAGAGAACTTTTTTTTCCCCATTGGGAAAAAAAGGTCTTTACAGAAGACCCTCGAACAACTTAGGGGTTAATCAACCTATAACTTAGAGTCGGCCTTCCTTATCTGCAGACTCAAACAACCATGGACTGTCTACTACGGTAATGTTTGCTATCGAAAAGTGTATTTGTATCAGTTAACTTGCGCCATCCCATGTTCAAACCCACGTTGCTCAAGGGCCAACTGTACAACAAAGTCAAAGTAGAGTTAAGTTGGGGAAGAAAAAAATTTATATCCAAGCAGATAAAGAAATTTATGTCCAAGGAGATACACCACATCTTGAAATACCAACTATGAAAAGCACATATCAGCCTGAAAACGGACTATGGGAACTGACAAAGCAGAGTGTATTGTTTGCAAATACTGACTGCTATTCTGCACAAAATTGCCTAGGAATTTAAAGTCAATATACTAAGTCATATGATACAATGGTGAGTGATAGTTAATTTTTTCAATTGATTTTTTCTTCTTTATGCGATATGATAATTGCTTTATAAAATTTAAAATATTCTTTGGCAAACTGTGTCTTATTCTGTCTTTAGTCTTCCTGAGACTAGCTGTATAGTGTGGAGCACCCTGTGTCTTAGTAAATGGTTATATTATGCTCCTCGCTTCTTAGGTACTGGAGGCATCAGATTGTGAGTTTCAGTCCACATCCGTCTCTACCCACTTTGCTTACTGCATTATTACATTATTCATTAGACTGTTTTCCTACTGTATCTATTAAAGTGGGTCAGTTATTTTGGCATTTTAATGTGGATATACATGTAATTAGTTCTGTACTACGGTAATAGTCTCAATAAAGTTTTGCCATCATATACTCTACACATACTCAGAAAAGACGTCAATGAAATGATGAGAAAAGAGTGTTTAACTTCTAAAAAATACACATCAAGTTAGATTTTTTTGGTAAATTTGCTTAAAGAAAAGCAACTTAACAAAAAAATTTTTTTTAACTTGCTCATTTCTCCAATCAGACCTGAGTTTTCTCCTAGGAGCCCCCAGATATCTGTTTCTCTCTACAATATAAAGGATTAATATCTCATTTTCATTTATTTAATCTGTTGACTTATGGGAGTTGGAAACTTTGTATTTGACATTTCCAATTAAACAGTAATTTCAACTCATTGCAATTTGAAGAATTTGCTACTATTAAAAAGCTCAGCCATGAAACTGATAGCATTTTCTTTGCTTCTCAATGATAGGTCAGATTATCATGTTGACTGCTATCTAATGCAAAATCTTATTTCCATGAGGGATATTTGCATTCCTAGCCACCCAAAATGAGTAATGACCTTGAATCTGAGAAAAACTGAAAACTGACAGCTGCAATCCAGATTATAATACCCATATGAGTTGATAATGCTTTGGCTCAATCTTGTCTTACGATCAACTGATTGGATATAGAGGTACAGAACATTAAAATATTTTGTGTGTTGTACATATATTTCAATGCACCTATTTTTAAGCTTTAAAAATCCACAGATTGCCAGCTTTTCTGACTGAATCACCGTTCCTTTCTCCTGACACTTGCCTCTTGATGGCTGGCTTTTATGAGCGGTGAGCAGCTGAACCTGACTTCAGGGACACACACACTCCCTCACTCATTCATACTCTCACACACAATAGAGCACAGCCCATCCTCCTGGTCACAAACTGCTTGTTTTTCTCCCTTCTTCATTCAAGAGTTTTCACCCTTTCCCCATGCGAAATGACCCAAGCAAATTTCCAGTCACAGCCTAGGTCTCAAAGATCTCATGATAATACCGACATCAGAGCTCAGTATGTCTTCTCTTGCTCAATGGAAATCTATGTATTCAAAAGGCAAGTAATCTACAAACCCCCCAATACACACTCAGTGTGCTACAGTGAAACTAGAATAAGAAAAGTGCAATAAAAACTTCCATATAGAGGAGAGAAATAGAAAATATTTATGAACTCTAACTTGGCAGGTGTTGCAAGGGGCTCCTATTCTGTTCCTAGGCAATGGTCCTTTATTTGGCCCGAGTTCTGCTGCCTGATAATAGTGGCCTAGTCTGCAGTTTTCTATGGTCCTTGGCTTTGTTGTCTAGGTGGTCCGATTTTTATTACATTCCGTAAGATAGTCCGTCGTCTGAGCTACTTGCAGTTATCTTGAATTTGTGACAAAATCTCATTCTCTTCTCCCTGTGCCATTTTGTTCAGCTTCAAGGATGTATAGAAAATGACCCTAATTAGGAGTTTTTAACAACACGCTTGGTGGCCACATCACTGATTTGATCCTTGCCTAAAAGCTCCACCTTAACTGATGTTTATGTTCAAAGCATCCTCAGTTTTATGTATTACCATTCACAAATGAAAACCAGA